TTTAATATTTAAACACTCTTCTGGTAGCTTTATATGTAAAGCTTAGATTTGATTTCGCAAATTTTTTCAGCAACATATTCTAGTACTTATTTAATTCTCGATTTGTTTACACAGTGAATTATAATGGAATTTAGAGTTAGAGAGTTTCTAAAGTTAATAGGTTACAAAAATTCCCAAACAAAAGGTATGGTGTGTGTGTGTGTGTGTGTGTGTGTGTGTGCAGTAGCGTAGCGAGATCGGGTGTCGCCCGGCGCGGCACTCAATGGTGTCACCCTCATCCCCCCATTAAAAATATATATATATATATATATATATATATATATATATATATATATATATATATATATATATATATATAGTAGGCATACTTCCTAGCTTCGCTTGTTTTCAAATATTTTTTTTGAGAAATTGAATGATTAATTAATTGATGATTGGAGTGCTTAGAGTGCTTAGGGCCTTTTTTGAAAAAAATACTTTTATTTGCAATTAAAACAAATACATCAACATCAAATTATTTACATAATTTCGAACATCAAATGAAAACGAAAGGTTTTGCAAATGTACATAATCAATATTTACATGATGTCATGCATATGATTATAAAAAACGACCGACCCGCGGCTTATCATATGCCGCTATTTAATTGTTTTATATTCTAGTTTTCAGTAATTCATAATATGTGAATTCGACAGTACCAGTGCTGCCACTGAAAAAAATTGCTTTAAATCACTATCAGTAGGTCGGTATGGACAATACTACCCCAACTTCCTTTACCCCAAACCCTACCCTACATCCCCCCCCCTCGCGAAAGCAGCCTCCTCTAAGTTACCTCCCCTAAGTTTAAAATAGTTTCAAACTAAATTATCTTCCCCTAATAGCCGTCACTAAACCCGTCTACGATTGTAAACATTTAGCGTGAACCACAGCTCACTAGACCATGTGGGGGTGCTTAGAGAGGAAGAGTGCGGACTGCTAGACGCGCTTACAGCTTGGTGTTTTCTAGGGTCTCCAAGAAGAGAATTATATATATAGATTGCAAAGGATAACAGTAAAAGGGGTGAAGGTCAAATTAAAGTGTCAGGAGTCCAAGTGGGTAGTGGAAAGGAAATTGTTCAAAGAGAGTCAATGGGACAGTGAAGCATTTTCTATGTAGGGAAACAAAATATGTTGACCAGTCGAAAGAGTGTTTATTTATGTAGGCCTACTGGTCGCATTGAGTTTTTAAAAGGTTGCTGTGTGAAAGATGAGGGGAAAGAAGCAAGATTTAGAACTTTAAATAAGTAAATGAATAGATATTCGAAATTGATGTTGGGGTGGGTGGTGGGGTCGTTGGAACAGCTAAAGGGAATGTGGGGTTATCAGGTCTGAGGGTGAAGTGGACAGAGGGGGAGGGGGTAGATGTGTCTGACGAGCCGTGGAGAGGATGTCTGTGTGTGTTTAAGTTTAAGGCAAGCCAAGCGTCAAAATATGTGCTGTGTGATCTAGCTGCTGAGGTGTTACATTTATAGGGTGTGTGGGTGGGGGGTGGGAGGGTTTGACGAACAGATTGGTGTCTGAGCGATTTAGCGGGAGGGTAAAAGGTTGGTAAGTTCAAGTCGGTGTCTATGTTTATTTGAATGTTTAGTACCGACAGGTTAGGGTTGGGTAGGCGTGTAGCTATCTCGGGGTGTGGGGATACAGTGGAGTTTTAAAGGTAAAAAATCGGTTAAACAACTATAAGTATTAATTTGGGGATAATAAAATGAATACAAAAGGAGTAGGGGTCATTGGGGTAAATTTGTACGTTCTGGACCAAAGTACCTTACATATATGATAATAGTGAAATAGAGACAAATGATGGCTTTACAATGTTTGTTTGTAAGCTGTATAAATAAAAACAATACACAAATAAGCAACAATAGGAAACTGAATGACAAATGATAAATGATGCAAAACAAGGTGGGGCATGGGGGTTGTGGGGTGGGAGTCAAATTAATGTTGTTAGAAATGTATTTGGATAATACATCATTTTCAGTATTTAACATAGTATTTCAACACAGGGGTGGGGTCATGGGAACGAAGGGGATGCAGTTATGGGGGCAATATGATATTGGGATCATGAGGTTTAGGGGCGGGGGGGGGGGGGGGCGGGGGGCGGGGAGGATGTGATGAAAGGGATGTGTCGGTTAGATATGGGCCTAAATTTTAACAGTTTGAGCAAATCATAAACCCATAAGTGGAATATTCGAAAACTTATTACTCGCTAGGTTATTAGAACTGCAAAGGCTTTCTTAAAAATATGAATCAAATATTATTTGTATTTACTTTTGGAATTAACTTTTGCAATTTCACTATAATATATAACTTAATTTATAACCAAATGTCTATTGAAACAAATGCTATACTTTGTGATGTTTGTTTTGTCTTTAAAATAGTAAAATCAATATTTAAAAATTATTACTTAAAAAGTTACCTCCCCTGTACACATACTCAATGACTTAGTCTTTGCTTACTTTTTCGCAAACAAATGTTTTGTAAGAAAATACGGTGTCTGGTCAAATCTAACTACACTGAGGGGTTTAGCCGACGGGAATAATGTTTTTTTTTTGTTACCCAGGGTCGGTCTACATGCTCACAAAATATCAAGGGGGGGAGGGGGGTAAAAAAAGCTCATATAATGCACCGGTCAGTCTTCGTGGACTTTGCGGCCAACCGGTAACGGTCCCCGTGTTCTATTGCCTGCCAAATTAGAAATTATTTAAGTAGTTTATGTATATACGCATGTGTATAACATTCACATATATTTTTTTTATCTCCCCTCTCCCCCACACATGGATTAACATATATGTTATTACGATCTCAACCAAACAGCTTACCTCAGGCATATTTTACAACGTTGAGTTAATGTAATGTTAATACTCTAATTAACCACTTTTTAAATAATTTTTCTGTATATATTTTGCATTTTTTTGTCTATGTCTTGGTGTCACCCCCTAAATGGTGTCACCCGGTGCTGTCCGCACCCCGCCCCCCCCCCGATCGCTACGCCCCTGTGTGTGTGTGTGTGTGTGTGTGTTTGTGAGTAGAAAGAGACATATAAAACATATATAGTGTAACCAGTCGAACGTCTTCTCAGATTTATCACGACAGTAAATTAATAGAAAAGGCAAGAACAGTTATTTTTAAATATTTAAGTCCGCTTTTATTTAAATACCAGACCGTATGTGTTATTTCACTATTTATAGTAGAACAGTTTTGTATTTCCGTGTATTTATTGCTTTTTTCTTTGTATGTTGCAAAAATTATTTTGCTTTGTGAAAGTTTTTTCAAAATTCGTATTTAAAAAAAAAATTCTTTTAGTGTTTCGTTTTTTTGCAGTTTACGCATTGATTGCATTTAAAATTCATATTGTGTTACATAATCTTCTATCTTATGTTAAGAATGGCTTTTTACTATGGTATTAAGTTTCCTTATTCTCTATCTATTTAATTGTGATAGCTTTGCCATCTAAGTTTTGCTGAATTAGCCCATACTTTATTTATTTCTCCAATATATTTAATATATAATTAAACTGTTATTTGACATTTCATGTATTCATCAATATAATATACTCCTAGACAGGGGCGTAGCGAGGGGGGCGGGGGGTGCGGACCGCACCGGGTGACACCATTTAGGGGGGTGACACCAAGGCAAAAAATAGCAAAATATATAGAGAAAAACTCGAGGGGGGGGGGGTGCAAATCGAAAGTTTGAGGGGGGGGGGGGTGCAAATCGAAAGTTTGAAAGTTTGTCCCTGGGAAGGGTCTCTATGCCTCTGGGGGGGTGACACCATTAAGTGCCGCACCGGGTGACACCCGACCTCGCTACGCCACTGCTCCTAGGGAGCAGGCCATGACGACAGTCAATAATTCCCGTCTGTTAGAGCAACCTTCAAATATTTACCTTTTGACACCCTATTGATTACGAAAAGTGAAGTTAAAAAAGCATCAAAATGAAGGAATATGGAAAAGTTTGATTTATTTTGGTGTAGAAGCTAATGTAAATAATTGTTTTGCCATCTAGCGGTGTCTTGACGAGAGTGATAACACAAATTTAAAGTGCCTAAATCAAAAAGAGTATTACGTAAAAACAGAGCTATTGAATTCTTCTTCTTTCTTCTTCTTCGTTTTTAATTTTTTAGTGTTGGATCGAGCTTTATCTGCCAGAGGGTTTGAACTCGAGACTTTTTTCGAATTTATCAACCATGAACTTTTGCCGACTAAAACCACACCTCCATCCCAATTAAGGATACGTCTCAACTGGTTATGCTCCATTGAGGCCATTGACTCCGATTTCAGCCTATATATATATATATATATATATATATATATATATATATATATATATATATATATATATATATATATATATATATATTGTTTGTTAAAAATAACGATGTCGATTTTGATGAGTACGCCCCAGAGTATATATGAATACAGTGATTTATTTACACTTTAAGCTTGGTTTTTTTTTTAGATCCAACCTGCCCTTTTTATCAGTTTATATTTGTTTTAAAATTTTAGAACTTTAAATGTCAAGTCAACTTGTGGACGTTTACATGGACCCGACTCCCCCCCCCCCCCCACCCCCAGCGACTACCTTCCGCCTTTTGTGTGGAAGTCATAATTTTATGACCCCTAAATTGTAGCTACATAACAGATGTATTGTTAGACAGATCAGGGGTAATCTTGAAAGCAGGCAATCTTAGCATACAAGATATAAAAAGAAATACGTTCAGCAAGCGTGTAACGATTCTTGTTACAATCATCTTAGAGTGGGCACTTAAGTTGTTTGTCATATCTGTCATGTGATCACCAGACTCAGTAAAGAATTGTTGCAACGTAATATTATTATTATATTTTTAATCTGATAAAAATTATATTTATTTTTTACATCCTCTCTGCTAGCGTTATGTTCACCAAGATTAGGTTTTTGTAATGAGGCAACCCCGATAGCACAAAATTTGGTGTTGTTTGTAACTG